GGATGCAGGGTTTCTATGTATTTCTTCTTTAGTTGCCAGAGAGAGACAGAGAGAGAGCTAGAAAATATCCCCCAATTTCACCTACTTGTCAGGGTTTGGGGCATGCATGGCATGTTTCTTCAAGTACAGGGCCAGGATTTAAACAGTGGTTGGACATGTGGGATCTGGCTCGCTAAACCACTAGGCTACGGGGCTGGTCCTAGGGTTTCTCTTAGAGGGTATGAACATATTAAAGTGCACCATTGTGATTAATGCTCATATCGTGATTATACTAAAAGGTATTGAGCTGTACACTGTAAATGGGTGAGTTGTGTGGCAGGTGCATTAGCTGTCAGCATTATTGTTTAAAAAACGTTTGCCTAGGGTCAGCCAGATGGCATGGTAGTTAAGTCGGCTGGATCTCACACAGTTGGAGTCCCAGTTATAGTGGCTTGAAAAACATACCAGGGATGTGTGCATGCACGCCCAAAATCCTGAGAGGAAGCTGGAGGAGAAAAGTTTGTGATATGGTTACCCCTGAGGGATGATTTCAGTTTCTCTCTCTCTCTCTCTCTCTCTCTCCCTCTCTTTCTTTTTCTCTCAGAACACATATGTGAGCATACATGCCCTATAGCAAAAACTAAAATAATAATAATAATTACGTAAAAGTAATTTCAACTAAAATGACACATCAAAAGGGATGAAAATTATGATGAAACCTTGGCTCTATGTTATTGAACATAATGATGTTAGGATCTCTAAAACATGCAAAAATAGAAAGATCTCAGTGCTCAGGCTAAACCTGGCAAGACAACATAAAAAGCGTAGCATAGAGACAGCAGAAACTGGCACAAAATAAACTAAGGAAATGATGAACTATGAAACCAATTGCTGTAGGGGAAAAAGGTAGGATAAATAATATGCAATTTTTTAAAAAAGAATTCTTGACTGATTCAGTCTTCTAAGCTATCTGAATGTGTCATTTGATTTAAAGGTAAACACTGTACAATTAAACTACTAACAATTTTTTTTAAAAAAAATTGGGGACCAGCGGGTGGCATAGTGGTTGAGGCACTAGAGTGCTACATGCTCAACCATGGTTCAAGTCCAGGACCCAGCAGCTTGAAACTTATGCAAGGTGCATATGTGTGCATGCCCAAAATTCCAAGAGGCAAATAGAGGAGAAGGGACTGCAGTGTGGCCATCCCCTCAGGGGGTGATTTCTTGCTTTCTCTCTGTCTCTGTCCATATCTCTGGTGACTGCACACACCTTATAGAAAAAAAAAAATCTCTCTCTAAAATAAATGAGTACTTCTATGAAATACCTACCCATAATTCTTCAAAAGTTTGAAGTCATGGAGAAAAAGGAAATAGAAAAACTGTCACAACTTAGAAGACTAAAGAGGATTAGTACCTGGAAAAGAAAGGGATGTTAAAAGGAAAAGCCAGTGAAATCCAGAGTTCCAGGTTTACTTAATAACATTGAACAAATGTTTATTTCTTAGTTGGGGCAACCATATCATAGTTAAGGAATTTAATAGCATTAAGGGAAGGGTATAAAGCAGAGTCTTTCTAACTCCGCAGTACTGGCATTTGGGGCCAGGTCATTGTTTCGAGTGTAGAAATTTTAACAGGATCCCTCGCCTCTACTTATAAAATATAACTAGAACACTAAATTCCTGACTCCAATTCCATTAGAGAGCTTTCTTAATTTTCCTTGTGGATAGATGGGGCAAACAGTAAGGTCACACCCTCTAATTAAGAGACACTGAGGGACCAGCAGTTAGCATAATGGCTATGTCGCTGAACTCCCATGTAGTCGACCGTGGTTCAAGTCCTGGACCTGGTGGCTTAAATTCACCTTGTGCTTGTGTGCCCAAGATCCTGAAAGAATGGAGGGGGAGGGATTGAGGCAGAGCCAAACCCCCCCAGGGGGTGATTTCTTGCTTTCTATCTCTCTGTCTCTCCAAAAAAAAAAAAAAATAGAAAAAGAAACACTGATCTAGGAGCCAGTAGATAGCATCATAGTCAGCCATATTCCCACATGGCTGACTATGGTTTGAATCCTAGATCCAGTGGCTTGAAAATCATGTAGGGCAGATGTGTGTGCATGCCCAAAATCCTGAGTGGAAAATAGAGGAGAAGAGATTGTGACGTGACCATCCCCAGGAAGAGTGAGAACTTGCTCTTCCTCTCTCCTATATCTCTGTCTCTCCCAGAGAGAGTAGTCATTCTATGGCCAAAACCTATAAAGAAAAAAAAGAAAAAGGAAAAGAAACATTGATCTATACTGATCTCTAATATCAGCTGACCAAATCTCTATTTCTTGGTACATGAGAATTAAAAACAGACACATTCAATGTTCATAAAAAATAGTTCTAACTAACCTTTACCAGCGAAGGTTCACTTAAAATTGATCAATTTATCTGTATCTCACCCAAGAAGACTGTGAGTATTTTGAAGTGTCTTTAATAATGAACCAAAATGACACCACTTGGTTATACTACATGGACAACTCTGTGAATACTGAGAAGAAAACAAACATCTTAAGAAATGTGTACCTTTTATATTAACTATCTACTCTGATGATACAGGTTGTGTTCCTATTCTGAAATGCTCTAAAATCTGAATCTTTTTGAGTGTCCATATGACACCACAAGTAGAAAATCCCACACCTGAGCTATAATGGTTCATAGCCAAACACCGAAGTATTGTATAAAATTACCTTTGGGCTGTGTGTATAAGTTATAAGTGACATGTACGTAAATTCTGTGTATAGAGTAGGGCCTCATCTCTAAGTTAGCTCACTACCTATGTGTAAATATTCCATAATCTGAAAAAATCTGAAACATTTCTTCCCAAGCATTTCAGAAAAGGGAGATTCAACTTGTGTTATCACCTTAAGAGGCTTAAGTCATTGCCATCATTACCAAGAAATGTTTTATTGAAGAGAAGATTACAGTATAGGAATTATTTGTTTTCAAGATCACATACTGGCATATTATTAAGGAATCTTGAGGAAATGAAAATGAATTAATCATTGACTGGAAAGCAGTAAGGATCTCATCCCAAAGCATCCCATGGCTGACATCTCCTCTCCTTCCCTGACAATCTGTCCTTCTGAACCGCAGAAGTCGTGCCTAGTGTTCTCATCAAACTCTTTCTCACCATTCATCGACTTGTCTCTGAGAGTCTGAAAGAACCCACTGTCTACTGTTGGATGTGCTATTTACTTTACCTGCCTCTACTTTCTGTTGCTCACCATTGGGGCCAACCTAGAAGGTACCTTTTTCATGGCTTATGAGAAAAAAAAATTCTCAAAACAGCCTATTTCTGGCCAGCTGTATGACTTCCTGGTTAAGGCAGCTGGATCCCACATGGCCAACCTCAATTTCAGTCCAGGACTCTGTAGCAAAATTCCAAAAGAAAAAAGAGATGGAGGAGTAAGAATTGCAACATGACCACTCCCGTGGGGGGGTGGGAGTATTTTCTTTTCTATTTATTTGTCTCTGTCTAGGGATTGCAGGTGCACTCTAACCACAGCAATAAAATTTCTGTTTCACACCACATTGCACTGACCTCTGAACTTGATTGCTATAACCAACTACCAGGGAACCTTCATACAGTGTTTTGTACTCAGATCTATTATTCTACTCTGTACACACAAATTACCAGTAAAAATTGGAAAAAAAGAGAAATGGAGTTAAGGTTCAAAGAGAAAAAAAAAATCTATGTATGACTGGATGAAAGCTTAAAATTAGTCTACATAAAGTCAACATTGTTGATGCTAAAACATAAATCACATCTATGACCACTATTTTCTTCAGAGGTAAATTTCAAAATCTGGCATTAACAAACATTCCAGAAAAATAAAGCATGCCTCTCATTTGCTGAAACAAAAACTAGTTACTTGTTTTTCCTTAAGAGCATTCAAGTGAGTTATATTCATTTTTTATGGTAAGGAGAGAGTACTTCTGTCAATAGCCTCTATGCAGATTTTGAGAACTGCAGGAATTATACTTTCTCTTTCTAAATGTCAAATGCAAAATGATGCAGCACTGCAGTGAGGAAGGAGCATTGCGCAGATGCTCAGACCAGTTGGGTGGCTCTTGCAAAATGTAAATGTACTTACCCTATAGCCCGGCAATTCTGCTCCTTGCTATAATACACACCCCAAAAAACGTAAGCAGGTGTCTACACTAAGCCTTGTTAGTCAATGTTGGAAGCAGTGTATTATTCACAATAGACCAAGCAGCAACCAAACTAAACGTCCATCAGCTGATAGGGTAAGTGTGGTACATTCACTCAAGGGAATAATTGAATTCGGAAACACGAAAAATAATAATTTGGAAACATGAAAAGCAAGCATAGACCTTGCAATCAGGAAACCATGAGAAAGAGGCCAGCCACCAAAGAACGTCTGAAATGTAATTCCGTTACAGCAAATCCGCAATGGAGAAATCTGTAGTCAGAACGTAGCCAGTGTTGCTGGGGCCTGAGAGTGGGGAGCGAAGGGGTAGGGGAATGGAAGCTGCAGGGTTCAGGGTTTCTTTCCGAGATGACTAAAGTGTTCATGTTACTGTGGCAAGGGCTGTCCCTATCTCCGAGTGCACGAAGAGCCACGGAATGGTACACTTTCAGTGGGTGAATTGTATTGTGAATACCGCAGGAAAGATATGAGAGAGAGAGAGAGAGAGAGAGAGCGCCTGCCCCTTCTCCAGGGTCAAACTTGATACCAGCAGCGGGAATGAGCCAGTGCCACCTGCGCCCTCCAGAACCGGTGACTCCCCGCTTGCTCCGCTCCCAGTGTGGTGTCTACCTTGGCCGGGGGTGCTGCCCTGACGCATGGGACTCGCGTGGAGGGTTCTGGCACCCACGCCTGGAGTTCTGGCCTCGCGCCCAGATGCCAGCCAACCGTCTCCAGAGCTGTGGGCGCTTCTCCTCTGGTGCCGGCTGCCCACATCGGGAACTTCTGGAAGCCGAATCCCCGCTGGAAGGACAGACCTAGCCGCCCAGCTCCCATGGGCAGCACCCTGGGTGCGCCCCGGCAAGCCCCGTCGCCTCCAGATCGGGGGCGCCCACCTCCGCGGCCCCAGACCGTCCTGGCTCAAAACCGTGTGCAGCACGTCCAGGGTGGGCGCCGGGTCAGAGGCGGACCTCTCCCCAGAATGCCGCCAGACTGGGATTCTGGCGAGTCCCGGAGGGTGGCTCCCGAGGAGTGGAGGCGCTTCCCCATCAGGCCGCCCCCCGAAACCATCCTGGGGCCGGATTATTCCTGCGCCTGGGAGAGTTACATGAAGCGGTGGCTTTGGAGTGCCCGGAACCCTAGACGGACCTGGAGCCCAGTAACCATCAAGATTTCTCCACCTGAGCTCCGGGGGAGCCCCTCGGAACCCCCGGGAGGGTGGCTCCCGAGGAGTGGAGGCGCTTCCCCATCAGGCCGCCCCCCGAAACCATCCTGGGGCCGGATTATTCCTGCGCCTGGGAGAGTTACATGAAGCGGTGGCTTTGGAGTGCCCGGAACCCTAGACGGACCTGGAGCCCAGTAACCATCAAGATTTCTCCACCTGAGCTCCGGGGGAGCCCCTCGGAACCCCCGGGTCAAGGGATCTGCTCCACAGGGCGCCCAGCTGCCCAGGGACATCCAGACCCCTGCGCCAAGGAGACCGTACTGAGGGCGCTCAGTCAGTGCAAGAAAGGCAACAGGAAGTTCGACGGGCCACTGTGGTTTGAGATCCCGGAGAGCGAGAGCAGGAGGCCGAACCCTGAGTCCAGGCCATCTGCCTTCAAGCCCCTGGTGAAAAATGGAGCTGTCGCTAACTTTGTGCCCAGACCAGGCCCTCTGAACAGAAGCCTCCGCTCCTGGAGCCTCAGCGTGTGCGACGAGAATGAGTCCCAGCCTCGTGTACAGCTTCCCCTGTCAGCAGGCCAGGCGGCCGCAGGGACAGCGCCAGTGCAGGGCGCAGATCCTGAGCTGGAGAGTTGGGACAAGGTGCAGCACTGCAGCGGCCTCCCCAGTCCTCCGGGACACTGGAACCGACCCTGTGCTGTCCCATTAGTCCGCGAGGACACCCAACCTGCAGATCCTTCTGGCTCCTAAGAGTCAGGGTCTTGTCACCCACCTCCCGAGATTCAAATTCGTGTCTGTTTCTGAACTCCACCGCAACCTGCTTACACTGATCCGAGGCACTGCTCCAGCAACCCGCTTCCTACGCCATCAAACCCCAGACCGGCCCACCCATCCCTGTAGAGTCCGCAGTGAGGATCCTTGATTCCAAACCCTTCGCATTCCCCTGTCTGTCCCTCCTTCCTGGCCTTCCTCTGCAGACGTTTGGGAAAGTCGCACTTACTTCCCCACCTCTCCTATTTGCCCAGTTTGTATACTCAAATATTTTATCTTATTAAAATAAAACCATAACAGAAAGTATTAACAGTTTTACAGAAGTTTTCTTGTGCAAAAATAAAGGAAAAGTGTGTTCCAGACAAGCCCTACGTGGGAAATAATTTTTGTTTATTTGAGATCCAAATATAAGTTCAGGGGACCTGCAGGTGGCCTGCTGGTTAAGGGTGCTGGACTCCCACAAGATGAACTGAGCTTTGAGTCTCAGACCTGGTAGCTTGCTTTCTTTTCTCTCCCTCTCTCTCTCTTTCACTGTGTCTCTCTCTGGTACAATTAAAATAAACAAATACACGAAATAATTCTTTTTAAAAAGATTAAAAAACAAATATAAGTTCAGTATAGCTAGAAATAGTAAGAAAATTATGATTTAGAAAAAAAGGCTATGATGAAGTAATAGGCCTCGGGGCCATGTCAAGTATCCTAAAAGCCACAGGTTTTAGACGGAGAAGAGCTGACGATCTGGTTGGTGTTTTAGAAAAAGGTCACACTGGCTATTGTGTATATAGTGAGTTATCTGAGAGCAGCAACTAAAAGAGAAACAACAGGGGTTCAAGCCTGCAATTTAAGCAAGAGACTGAAGATGGTTTGGTCTGAGAGGACAACGATGCAGATGGAGAGATGCAGATGAAGGTAATATTTTATAATAATAGAACTTGCACTATGGCATTGTGAAAGTGCAATAATTCGATATTTAACTTATTGATTCAAGACACTGGATAATGATAGTGTCAATTTATTGACCATGCAACTACCAGTAAGAAATTATTTGGAGAGATCAAGAGGGTGTTTTAGTTATATTTCCTAGAATAACAAGCTCACTCTTTATGTCAGTGGAACTGTCAGCTATGCAGGTGAAAAGATGAGTCTGGAACCCAGGGGAGTGTTCTAAGCTGGAGAAATAACTTTGGGATCCGCCATCACTTAAATTTACATAGAAAAGATCTGTAAAGTCCTGAGCCACAAGAGCTACTGTGCAGAAAATATAGAGGATCAACGGTGAAATCTACAGGGCTCCAATGTTTGGAGTATGAAAAGGAAACGGAAATAAGAAGTCTAAGCAGAAGTAAAACATTGAGGTTGGAGAAAATCCAGGAGCTGCTGGGACGTGGGTGACAATTCCAGAGGTTGGAATTTGCCACCATTAAAGTTAAGAAAAATATGACGTGTTCTATTGCTGACGTTGAGAAGAGAAACTGCTTTCGAGTGTTGGCAATAAAAAGCATAAATTGAGTGGGAAGATGTAAGGAAGGGAAGATGTGGAACAGTAGAAGCACTTAGAATCATAGATATTGTGATATGAAACAAGTAAGTGGGCATGCTGGGTTGAGGACTTTTTAGTTTGTTTATACATTTTCTTTTAAGAAGGAACAGCAAATATGTGTCAGCAGTGAAGTGTTTCTTGGAAAAACCTGGACAGATGTTACCTTAAGTGCTGGTGGAATGTGGAAAGCACATGGACAATAAATCCATTATACCAGCAGGGGTCCAGCAGAGTGATGTGTAGGGAGAGGTCCAGGGTGGTCACCATGGTGGTGGAACCTGGGGGAGGTCTCTATTCCACTTCATCACCGAAGGACAATGTAAGACTCTCAGCAGGAGAGTAGGAGAGAAGTATAACAAGTTTGAAGAAAAAGCTGAAGATATGAAACAGAATTCTCAGAGTGGGAAAGGGAATAGTGAGGAACGATTATAGAAAAATCCAGTCCCATTTCAAAATTGGACTCTGAAACTGAAGGAAAAACCAGTCAATATGATTAATTTTATCTAGCTTTTATTTTACTTGAAGTAGAGCAAATAAAGATTGAGCACACAAATGACATTAGCCATTATATTCCTTTAGCCAATACCATATTAACTGTTGTATTCCAAAATAATTTTATCACATTCTGGGGAGGGAGAAGAAGGAATGGAATTAGAGAATATGTTAGATAGGATAGTCCTGAAACATAGGAGAATACAGGGAAATATATAATTTATAAGAAATTAGCTCATATGACTATCACACCTGATTCATCTCAAAGACCTATATTCATTCTAGAGGTTGGAAACCAAGGAGCATTGACGGTATAAGTTCCAGCCTGAGTATAATAAGTTCAAAGGTGGGAAAATACTCCTGTCTCAGTTTAATTTTCTTTTTATTATATTAGAGGCTTTTGCCTTAGGACATGTGCACTCACAGAGACAGAGACATTGAGAGGGAAAGTGAGAAATCAAATCCCAAAGGGGACAGTCACAATCTCTTCTCTTGTATTCTCCTCCCAGGATCTTGGGCATGCATGCAGACATGTCTAGCTTGATTTTCAAGGCACTGGGGCCAGGACTCAAACTATGGCCATGTGGGAGTCCAGCAACAGAACCACCACAGCATCTGTTGGCCCCAATGTCCCAGCTTATTGATAGGCAGAAAAAGAATTCTTTCTTACTCAGCCTTTGTGTTTATCCAGGCCTTCAATGGATTGGATAAGGCTCACCACTTTGGGGAGGGCAGTCTGCTTTATTCAGTGTATGTTAGTCTCATCTGTAAACGCTCTCACAGAAATGATGTTTAACCAAATATCTAGGTATGTCATGGCCCACTTAATTTGCACATAAAGCTAACCTGACAAGGTATTTTTAAAGAAATCATTTTAACTTGGATCATGAAAGTAGGGCTAGCTAAGAAGGAAATTGATGAGGGAGATGGCTAATGGAAACTAAGGACTACACTTGTAGGGAGATCTTGAGGGAGCTGAAAAAATTGTCATGTAATGGTACCAAAATGAGGGGAGCTAGGAAAGGCCATGTGGAAAGTGAGATCTTTGAATTTGAAATTTGAGAAGTTTAATGAGGATTGTGAGAATGAGGTGAGAGGAACAGGAATCAATGTCATAGAGGACATAAAAAAATGAGCTGTGGTGATGACTGTTTGGATATGACCTCAAAAGCTTGAGTAGCAAAAGTTAATTTAGACAAATGAGATTATATTTAACTAAAATATTTCTGTACAGCATAGGAAGCAAATCAACAGGGAAGAGATGCCTATGGAATGGGAGAAAATAGTTTCAAAACATGTATCTGACAAGGAGTTAATATCCAAAATACATAAGGAACTCAATTTAAGCAAAAGAACAAACAACCAAATTAAAAAATGGGCAAAAGAGGGACCAAAATGGTGGTTAAGGCACTGGACTCTCACATTGCTGACCATGGTTTGAGTCCCATACTTTGTGACTTGCTTTCTCACTTTCCTTCTTTCTGTCTTTTTCTGGTGTATTAAAATAATAATAAATAAATAAAATTAAATAAATAATTCTTAGAGGAAAAGAATATGGGCAATAGAGAAGCCAGCAGATGACTAAGGTGCTGGACTCCATAGCTAACCACAGTTTGAGTCCAGATGTGGTGGTTTGAAATTCACACAGAGTACATGTGTGTGCATGCTCAAAATTCTAGGAGGAGAATGGAGGAGAAGGGATTGCAGTGTGGTCATCTCATCTGGGGAGGTGATTTCTCATTTTCCACCCAGGGAGGTCATGTGTCAAATAAACAAACAAATAAAAATGGGCAAAAGATCTGACTAGACATTTCTCAAAATTAGGCATGTAAATGACCAATGTTTTTTAAATGCTCATTATTACTAATCATGAGGTAAATGCAAATTAAAACTACCATGAAATCTCACCTCATGTCTGTTTGAATGGCCACTATAAAAAAGATGAAATATAAGTGTTGGCAAGACTACTACGTAGGAAGAGGAAGTTTGTATGTGACTGGTGAGAATGTAAGTTAATATAGCCATATGGGAAAAGGTATGAAGGTTTCTTAAAAAAACTAAAAATGAAATTACAGCATGATTCAACAGTCCCACTCCTAGGATATATGCGAAGGAATTAAATCTATCAAAAGGATATCTAAACTCCTTTGTTTATTGCAGCCATTATGTAGACAAGCCAACCTATGGAATGAAATCTCTGAAAGAATGAATGGATAAAGAAATGTGGCAAGTTACCCAGCAAAATTACTACTCAGCTTTAAGAAATAAATCTAGAAACAGCAGGTAGTTTGGTGGGTAAGGTGCTCGATTATCACATGACCAACTGTGAGTTTGAGTCCCAGACCTGGAGGCTTGAAAATCATGCCGCTGTGTGTGCCTGCATGCCCAAAAATCCCACGAGGAGAATGTAGGAAAATTGCAGCGTGACCGTGCCCCTAGGGGTGGGGGTAATTTCTCATTTTCCCTCTGTGTCTCTCTGTTTCTCTCTAATGAGTATACATGCTTTATGGCAAAAACAAACAAAAAAAAACCAGAAATATTGTTATTAATGAAAACATAGATAAATTTGTAGTCCCAGCTCAGCATGAGGATTGCAACACAAGGAGATTCTGTCTAAATAAATAAATAAAGAGATAATATAGGTTTATTAAACTAATGATGTTAGACATCCAAGGTCATCTGCTGAGGGTGTTCTTTTTGGTGGGGACCCTTTAGTATGGCTCAGAGTAATGGTAAAGCAGAGCAAGAGGCATGTGTGTCCTGTGTCCCTGTGTGTCTATTCATTACATAATGCTACCAGAGGTCAGTCATGGGGACTCCACACTGATGACCTTAATCCATGTCACCTCCCAAAAGTTTCACTTCTTAACCACATGGTCAGATTAAGTTTTTTTTTTTTTGGAGAAGTTTTCGCTACAGGGCGCGTGCACTCGCCAGACAGACAGAGACATAGAGCCAGAAAGCGAGAAATCACCCCCCAGGGGGAATGGTCACTCCGCAATCTCTTCTCCTCCATTCTCCTCTCGGGATCTTGGGCACGCACGCACACGCGCCTGGCGTGGGTTTTAAGCCACCGGGTCCGGGACGCAAACTGCGGTCGACTACGTGGGAGTCCAGGCACATAGCCATTACGCTAACTGCTGGTTCCCAGATTAAGTTTTCGTACCCTTAATCCCATCACAACCAAATTTTTCTCAGATAAATATTTGGGAGACACATTCAAATGTAAACAAGAGAAAATATGAATGTGTGTGTGTGTGTG